GTATTTGAATTTTAGTTTTTTTTCTACAAATCCAAATCACTTGAAATTGGGAGAGTGTATTCTTTAAAAAATAGGAGAATCTAATAAAAAATATCAAAAAAAATAAATTCGCAAAAAAATAATTGATCAAAATTCCCCTGAAAATTTTTAAGGGTATTTTGGTCAATTTATTTTTTGTGAATGAGTTTTTTATATTTTTATTAGGTGCACCTTAATGAGAAGAATGAACGTCTCAAATTTCATGTAATTTGGATTTGTAGAAAAAAAATTAAAATTATATTACGAAATAAGGTCATGATTGTCAAATAGGTCCAGATTCAATCTGGGCCGTTGGGCTTATACTATTCCATCAGCGTCATGGGCTAACAGGCTCTATTCCCTATATATAAGGATCATTATCATCCTCATCATCATTCGGCGATCAATCTGCCCTACCTCAAGCCCCAAGTAAGTTTATTGTACCCTTTCTTTAATTTGTTTGTTTTAAAGTTTCAACAAAAAAATAAAGTCATCTTCTTCAATCTCTCCGATATTATGGATTATAGTCCAAGATATTAAAAATAATATTTTTTAAGTACTTATTGACCATTAATCTTAACTAATTCCTCATTTCTATTGCTTTTATTACTAAATCTGCATTCCATTTATTTTATCTTATTCCGGTTAATTTTAAAACCTTTAGATTCTATAGCATCCCTCCAAAATTTTAACTTTGCATTGATGCCTTCTCTAGTATCATCATTAAAAGCTATGTTATCTGCAAACAACATAAACCACAGTACTTTATCTTGTAGATGCCTAAGTTGTTCACCCAAACTGGCCTCTTCTATAGCCTTTATTCTTCCTTTATCAGCCTTTGTGTGCCTGTATGTATGCCTACATGCTTATTCAATTTCCAGATTTTGCCTAGTAAAGTTCTCTTCTATGTTCCTATATAGACTAGGTTGTTGTTCCTGATGATTAATCTTTTTTCTCTTGTTGGTGAATTTGATTATCTTCGCGCTTGTTGTTTGTCTTGTTTATATGTTGGATTGCATTCATGTACCTTGCAGCTGACAAGTATGGGCCATGAGTGACAGCTCAGTATAATGCTGCACTTTTCTTTTTTATGAGAAATTTTCTTACATGTGGATGTGGGTTTGTTTTCACCTGCATTTACTTTTTATAATTTGTAGCAATCGCTCGTACTTCATAAGAGGATCATTGATCATAGTTCTCCTCTAAGGCACGCACTTCATTATTAAATTAATGCTGGATATCCTTTTGAATCAGGGTTCAGATATGCTAATTTTCGTTGTTCTTTCTCACTTTCATATTTTCTTGGTGAGAATGTTTTTGAGCCATATTAAAAATTTCAAAACCTTTTTTATATACTTTTCTAGGCAGCTGAGGGTTTTTGCCGCAAGAATGGTGTCCCTTTGGGTGCTTTATTCAAGCAAATTGACGGTGAGTTATTTTATGTCTTTGTCCTTACTGATTGAACATTGCATTCACTCTTTGTTTCTAGTCAATTGCATCTGAGCATGTGCTGCCAATTAATAGAATGGTTAATTTGATTTTATAGTTTATTTCTGTTTGGCTTTTCTTTCTGCAAAGATATCAAAGAGAAAATCAAAGCACTTGCTTTTCTTATTTGTATTGTTTAATCTTTGGCAAAAACATGTTCCTGAGATAAATCAAAATGCATGCTTTTTCTCGTCTGAATATGATGAACGCTGGTGACGTTCTCTTTGATATTGGTTTTGTCTGCACGGATTTGGTCAACTGGGTTTTAAACCCTGTGTGATGCAAAATACTGAAAATTCAGCCATGCAGGGTGCAACGGTATATTTCTAGTCTTTGAACTGCATGCTAAGACTAGGTATGGCGACTTGTAAGCTTTCTATGTCTCAGGAAGTGCATGATGCCCTTCAATGAACATTCCAATATCTAAATTAGATTCAGCTAGGGGATGTTCTGTAAAAGAGGTTCACGATTAGTGTGTAGTGTGCAGTGTGTAGTGTTCCAATTAGTTAGTTTGCAGATCTCTTTTTTGTCTCTTTCATGTCCAAATGCTTGGATAAAATTTGCTTTCTGTAAACATGCTTGGGAGTGGTCTTTCTTGAATCATGACATTATGGGCATGTACTTATGACTAATCATAGTTTTGGTTGTTTTAGATTGGGGGTCAAGTTCTGTATGCACTTGTGACTAATCACAGTTTTGGTTGTTTTAGATTGGGGGCCACGTTTTGTATGCTTTCTCTCTATAGTATTTAAGATCTCGGTTAGAAGTTGACAAGCCCAGCTTTTCCTTTAATTAAAGGGTGAGGTTTGTATGAGGTGTCAACTTTATACTATTGAAGTAAGGTGCACCTCAAAACTACGCCAAAAATGCAGTTTCGGTACCACAAAGCCTTGCGATGATATGAAAATCTATTGTTGCCCCCAATTATGAAATTTAAAGTTTCAAAAATGGTGACGATCAAGCAGATCTATAAATGCTTGAAAATCTTGAAAATGGACGGTCCAAATAATGTGTTAGAAGAACTATTTTTAGGGCTAGAAATCCTCTTTTTCATGTCTATGAATCTTGAGGTTGAGATGATCGCTTGGAGGGTTTTCCAGCATAGGAACAACTTTTTCTAGTGGGTTTTTTATGTGCACCTTACTCATACAGTATAAGGTTTGACACCGTATATAACTTTTTCCTTAATTAAATATTCTTGGAGCTGTGCTTTTGTTTGCATTTTTTCATTTTTTATTCATTCTTAGTTTGGACTCAAGGTTTTTATGCCGAACAAAGGCATTTATTTGTTACGGGTTGCTCTCCTTTTTGGCATGAGAAAATTTTGTATGTTATAATATTCAGGCTTTAATGATTGATTTTTCACTTTTCTGTTGTAGGAAAGATAGAGTATGTTTATGTCCGAACGAAGGAATCAGCAAGGCGTGCTTTGGAGGTTTGTCTATGTTTTTGAATCTTTTCAATGACATCAACACAATGACGTTAACTATATGTTTCCAATAATTTCAAAAAAATCTTGAATGCTTGGTTGTGCCTTAATAATATTGCTCCCTTTCTGTTTTTGTTTTGTTTTGTAATTACTAGAGAATTGCTCCCCAAGCTATAAATCTAGGATGCAACTTGAACAGTTTCTTATCATCAGTGTGGTTTAAAGAATTAAATATCTTTAGCAAGAATTCTAACTAAATATCTTCCTAAGTGGTTTGAGCATTTATTTTTTTATTTTCTTGTTTATTCTATTACCATTATCATGAGTAGTTTGAGCTCTACTGTTGCTAATTAATGTTGAATTTTTTCCGTAGATAGGGCGTGATGATGGTAGGCTTGGATTTATTCCAGACTAAAGTTTCTGATAGTAACTTCTTTTTAGAAGCTAGTGCCTTAATTTTCTCCTGTAAAAAAGGTTGAAGATGGGAATAAGTTCCCGTAATAGATAGTAAGGAAATTTATCAAAATAAACGTGAGAGATGAACTATAACCTTAAGCCCGTTTGCAACTATTCCAACTCATGATCATGTGTCTTTTGATGGGTAGTTTGAAATTAAATCAAAAGATACAGGTAGAATGTTAAATAGTTAATCTCTTCTGGGTATTTGGATAAATTTCCCGAGATGGTATTTGCAGCAACAGCCTTGTGTAGTTACTGGTTGATATACTATCCATAGCATTCCTGTGCCCTGTACATATTATCGTTCATCTCTGTAGTGGTTCATATGAAAAGCGCCATGCATTCACAAATATCTCTCTTATAGATTTGGTGCCTCCTCATTCTAGATAATTCCCAAAAGATTACCTTTCGCACCATTCTTATTACGTCCTGAAGTAGTTTCTGTTCACAGTGATTTAATAGTGGTTTTATATTCTTTGTTTGATTGGTTATAGATCGTTAAGTGCAGGTTTTGGCTGAAGATCTCCCTGGTGTCTTATCTAAGATATCATTCTCTAAGTCAATGAGGTGGAACTCCCAGGTGTGGATTTCATTATCCTTGGTTATTCCAATGGTATTTTTTTAATGTAATTT